GCTCAGGCTCCCAAGCAGTCAGCAGCAGCTACAGTCGGGGGGGGGGGGGCCAAATCCCTGGGATCATGCACAATGCCAACCTGAAATCTCAGTATTCATTCTCCATTTTTAGATTAATTTAGGGGTGGTGAAAAGGGCTGAGCTGACAGCCCCCGTGGCCTGTTTAGTCCCTGGCAGTCAGCAAGGGATGCTGTGACCTGAGATGACCACGGGTTTATACTCAGGGAATTTTCTTGCCCTTCTCCATACCACCCAGTGTCGTTAGTGAACCTATGGCCCCTCAAATGACGTGTGGGTTACTCCCCACAGCTCAGTACTCTGCAGTGTATTGATACTCTCCATTTAGGCTCCTATGATCAGTTCTCACAAGACTGGGAAGATTTATTGCCCGGTCAAATATGCAAATACTGACCAACTCAGCCCAGTAAAGTCTGCAATAAAGTCATTTTACAGGACTGGGCCCAGAGCTCCATATCTGCTCTAACTCCATGTAGGGGCCTGGACACATGCAGGTCCCAGGAACCCAAGGGAATTGGATACCTGACACCAGCTCTTTGCACCCCTCTTTCTGTCTGGACACCCACCGATTTCACAGTAGCCATCCTGGCCCATTCCAAGGTCTGCAGAAGACTGCACCTTGTTCCTTTAGAGGGAGTGCTTGTTCATCTGCTTGTGGCTATTACTTGGTGACAAAATCAAGAGGCAGGGTCTATGCTTGCACTGGGATGTGCTTGCTAAGATCCTCCACACCACTGACATTGCCACTGGTTTAGTTACAGCCACAGAAACAGTAGAAACACTAGCCTGGAGAGAGGCCCTGTGGCTGCAGGCATGTGAAACGCTATCAGCTAACCGTGTTCAGAGCAAGGGATTTGGCTGTCAGCTGGGGATGCTTCGCACAGCTGCTCTCTCCGGTGCAGGCACCCCGGGGAGGGCTTTTCGTGCTACAGGCAAGGCCAGGCAGCCTCCTTGATCACTCATAGTCCAGGAGTGCCTAGCGGTCCAGTTGTGAGTACAGCTTCATCCCAGCACTGTGGGTGCACGGTGATGGACTGTCCCTACCCAGAACAGCTTAGTCTATAGCAGGGACCGTTGAGGAGCACAGGCCAAAATAATGCAGCTGAATCTGGGGTGGGAAGGAAAGGGGCTACCACCATTCTTCCCCACTGCTCAGATGCATCACCTGTGTAAATACCCCGCTGCCAAAATGCTGCAGAAGCCCCCCCACCACCAATTTCCACACTACATGGGCCAGATAAAATTGTTCCCAGGTCATAGGCTGCCAACCCCTGACCTAAAGCACCAAAAACCATCAAGCTACAGGCAAGGCATAAAGGACTTGCCTGAGGTCACACAAGACAGTGGCAGAGCTGGATCAGTCTCCCAGCTCCTTGGTGGATCCCCAGCCACTTGCTAGTCCTGCCAGTAAAGTTATCCTCAGGAGACTCGGTTTCTTGCATATCCACCCCCCACCCCCCAGTAACTGCTCTCAGTGAATTGCCCACTTCCGGCATTGCTAACTCTCATGATTTTTGGCGTTTTTGAAGTCTACGCCTTGGGAATGTGAAAAACATAGCTCTCTTTTATCTATCTATATCTAGATAGATAAAAGAAAGATGTCATCTCTGCATGTCCTGTTCTTGAAGCTGTTCTGGACAGCTATATAGTCATAGATAGAGATAAAAGACAGACCTACATGTTTCACATTCCCGAAGCGTAGACTTTAAAGAACAAATGTCAAAAATCATGAGTTGGCAATTCTGCACTTCACTCAGCTTAAGCAAAACTAGTGTTACAGAACCAGTGTGAAAACCTATCAAATAAAAGCTGGCTACACATACATGCCTAGCCAGGAGGGTGTAAAACAGGCTCCATTACAACTTGAATTCAAGCTGCTAACTCAAGTGAGCGTGTCCTCATTGCTCCCTCAACCCAAACCAACTCAAAATAAGAACACCCTTTTTTTGGACAGTGCAGACTTACCTTGAGAATCATCTCTGGGGTGGTTTCAAACGTCATAGTTGCATTACTGTAACCAGGAGGACCAAGGGAACAGAAGAACAACAAGAGTTGTCTGATAGTGATACTGAGCCAGCCACAGGTAATAATGACCCTTTTGCTTTTTCAGTGCTCTTGGTCTTTTATCTAATTAGGTTGCTCTCCTTCAACTGCCCTTTCCTTGGTCTGTAGCTATTCTTGATAACTTCTCTTGACTCCACAGATATACTATCTTCTCCTCCCTTTTTTTTTTAAATGACTGTTTAAGGATTAAGCAAAGGTCATTTTTCCACTTGGAGGTTAGCTCAGGCTCTGCTTTTTTCTCAGACCTAGGGAAGAACAGCTTGTGCCTAAAAGCTTGTGACACCTGGGTGCCTAGGCCAATTAAAGCTATTCCCAAGGAAACCTCGTTTCTTCATTTCAACTCTTGGCAGCTGTGATCTCTTGGTGGAAAGTGACCCTGCAGCCCAATTCACAGAGCACCAGCTTGGCCCAGAAGGGAAAAGGCCTTTTCTCAGACTGCTTTGAACTAGACTAGACAGAGGGCACTTGCTGTGTTAGGCTGAAGTCAGGCAGAAAGTAGGGCAGGATGGCATCTTAGAGACTAACTAGTTAAGAAAGACATAAGCCAACGGCCTACCTTATCAGATGCTATGACACAGCATCTCACAGCTAATGCATCTCATAGCTGCTGACAAGTAGGCCATTGCTTCCAAAAATGTGTGCTTTGGTGAACTTGTTAGTCTCTAAGGTGACACCCTGCCCTGCCTCCTGCTTTTGAATTAGGACGTGCCAAGCAGAAAAATTAGTGAAACTCCAGGGACTTTTTCAGCGCAACACAGCTGTGATCTGATTCCCTCCTTGAATCAACAAATGGACTGGTTTTCAAATAGGACTACAGCTGATCGTTATTGTTCACTTTTGCCCCTCCCCAGCATAAAGACTAACCTTTGTGTTAAGCCTGATGGGTACTGTATGCTTGTCCTTCCCCCATGCACTTTCCCAGGATGCAGGGCCCAGGGGCAGAGGGGACACGAAACTCGCCTGGGCTCACCTAGTGCTCACAGCATTCTCATGTGGGCCATGGAGGGTGACCACTGCCCTTCAGCTTTTTATCCCAAAAAGGAACAAAGTTCTTGCTTCTCTCCACTGAGATCCAGTTCAGTGTTGGGGATGCTCCTCCTAGTCAAGCTGGAGCAGATGAAAGCAATAGTTCATGGCGGGGCAGGTCACCCTGACCTAAGGAACACACCACTGCCAGGGTGCCCAGCCAGAGCCCAGTTAACCCCCATCCAGGCAGGAGGAACTTGTCTCTGGCACCCTGAGCAATCTGCACTGGGAGGTTACAGCCAAGTCCCTGATGCCCCCAGCTCTGCCCTTCCAACCACTCAGGTTGGCCCATGCAGATCCCACCTGTAGTGCAAAAGCCAAAGGAGAGAAGGTCTTGATCACTCATGTGCTCTGCCGTGGCCACCCAGGGCTCCAGCTCTACAAACTGCCCCTTGACAATGCTGCTGGGCCAGCCACTGTCTAGACCTGTGCCCCCAAAAGCTGCATCAGGGTAGGGGCCGGTGTCTGAGAAAGGTAAACTAAAGACTGCAACAGGGAAAAGACTTGGAAGGAATACCTAGGGTGGCTGGTGCAACAGGAAGCATGGCTGAGAGGGCAGGGCAAGGACTGGGAAGGTGTTGTGGGTCTGGTCTAGGCCGGGCAAAATCCAGCCCACAGGCCAGATCAGACCCACAGCAAACTCCATTTCCCAGCAGCCCCTGCCTTGCATTGCTGTGCCAGCGTCCATGAAGACCTAGGAGCAGGGGTACCCTGACAGCCTGGGGCCAGGGTT